CATGCACTTTTTTCAGAATATTAAAATTGCACTTTGATCTAAAAGAAAACACATAATAGTAGAACAAGAGTAATTTTGTATGTTTATGTTAATTGTTAACCTGTATTACTCCAGTAGTAAAGATTTGAGAGTCAAAGAAAACATTACCGAGTATGGCAAGCATCTGATTTCACCAAATGTAAATATAGTTATAACTACATAAAAAAATAATTAATTCGTATTTGAACTTCGAGTTCCTAACAATAACTTAATTAATAGACTCACAAATCAGGAAAAAGTAGAATGCAAGCTTCTAGAACCATCCGTGAAAATTTTTCCCACTTTGCCGATAGTATCTTGGGTTTTATTTAGAATCTGCGGCCGTTACCAAATTGACTCCGATTGCCTGATGCACTCCTCAATGGTGATAAGTTGTGCAAACACTTCCAGTATCACAAACAAACCAACAGGTGAACACGAAATCCCAAAAAGATGAGATTTTATCGAAAACAACAAAATTACAAACACTGTTGTTCTAATAATGACAAGAAATAATTTGCAAACAGAGAACAGAGTCGTTTAGAAAATTCATGTTAGTGCAATGATAAATTTGCGCGGGAAACTAGAGGTCAATTCACCTTTCAAAGTGAGCCCTTCGCTACCCAAACAAAATTTTGTACCATATTTATCGTTATGCTCTTCCTAAAAGCACATCTGTTATAGCCAAACAGGTAAGTACAATATCACTATTTCCAAAAAACCAGTATACAGACTCCTCAGCGTAAGTAATTGAATAACTACGCAAAATGCTAACTAAGCTCATCAAGCTATTATAACACACCAGATAGAGATTTGAATGTACGTACCGTCTATCTCGCCAACCTTGATCTTGCGAATACCGATCTTGAGGAGGTGATAAATGGCAGCCAGACACATGGTAGGGAGATGTGTCTATGTGATCAAGGTTAAGGCTAACTAAAACTTCGACAAATCGATTTATTAACGATGTCATGTTCTTTATATAACTTCTTTGCAACAAACCCTATAACGTTTCTCTTTCTACACCGTCACGATCTTGACACAACTATTTTCACGAAACATTAACGTATTTACTTCCAGCAAATCTGACTGAGAAAATTAAGTAACTAGCCACAAATAAATAAGAAAGAACTAAAAAAATAGACCTTGAGATATCTTTGAACCGTATCGTGACATATGTTACCAAAGTCCCTTTACTTTGACTGAGGTGACGATCTGAACTCTTTATCAGACTATGAAAAGGATATTCCCCGAAAACGATTGTTCGGGTTAAATTGAGTTCGGCCGCCTTGGAATCGTTGTTTATGACTGATAGGCATACGATCACCAACGCTGTGATGCATCCCTGTGAGACGATCCAGACTATCTAACGCGGTCTGAAGATCGAAAGCAGTATCATTTCATTAGAATCGAACCTCAAAACAAATGCACAGAAATGTACATATAATCCCATACCAGATGAACACAATCGGTAACTGTAAAACAGAAATTACCTGTAGGTCTAATCGGTGTGCATGTGCTAAACTGATGTTCACATTCGGCAACGATCCCCCAAAGTACTGTTGCTGCATCTGCTGGTGTGGGGGCTTTTTGGTAGGCTTGAAAACAGAGAAGAAATCCATATTCAGCTGTGCTACTGACATGTCAACAACGAACAACAAAACGGACTAAAAAATATTTCTTAATCAAGAAAATTAAAAATACCTCTAGTATGGAAACCTCTTTCATAATCTGTTCGAAAGCACGCGTTCCCTCCTCCTGTTTCTGATTGTGCAGGGCAATTTTCTCAGCAAATTTCCTCGGGTTCGCCATATTGGAAAGAGTAAGTTGGAGCGTGTTGTCAGTCTAGAGCGGCGTTCCATTTGGTCACAGGGGGTCTGTACATCGACCAATCAGCAACCAGCAAAACACAGCTCTCCACGACGTTCCTTGTTGCACAAAATGCAAATGAAAAGCACGAAAAGCAGAGCTTTTTTTCAACTTAAGAATTAATGCTCATGAATGTCAATTTTTGGCTCAATGAAGAGTAACAAGAGATTTTGGGGGTCAGCTTTAACATGTAATCGATCTATTTTGGCAATAGATTTTGGCAGTATCTCAATGACTTCGTGTTGACAAAATCCACTAAAATTACTCACTCGGATCATCTCGTAACTCATTCGGGTCACCATCGGAAATTAATCCCATGTTGCCATGCGATGTCTCCTCGCCCTGTGGGGGTGTTTTTGTGGAGTAGTTCATGTCATTAAGAGTTGTGAAAGGGCGTTTTTTAGTAAAATCAAAAGAGTAGAGACGGGAAAAAAAAGAGAGGGGAAAAGAAACATTTCCGCAAAGAAGTTCCATGGGGCCAGGTGTTACGGGAACCAAATACATTTGTTTCTCAAAGTGACAGTTAACACTTTTCAACAAGGTAAAAGTCGGACAGGCGCGTTTATGGGAGAACACGGTTGTATCGAGAATCTTAGGCGTTTTGTATTCAGTGAACACCCACATTTAACAAATGTTGATTTTATGGAACGAAATTTCCATTGACAATTAGTGTACAATTTACTCTTCAAGGTCAAGAGGTCTCGCGGTCAATTAATTAACCAGGTGCCAGTAATAGTTTAATTCCTAATATTATTTATTTTCCCGATAATTTTAAGGGGGGAATGTGGGTAGATTCTTTTATGCTGTTTAGTTTTTCTTTCCGTTTTTGGTATATTTCCATTAGTGAAAAAAAAAAATAATAATAATAATTTTATGACGCTGAAGTGGTCATTGAATGGCGATCATTTGATTTAAATATTATTCATCCTTAGTTTTCTCGATACTTATTTATGGTATGAGCTGGATATTATTGTATGAGATGTTTTATCACTCTTGACGGATTCACATGGAAAGGTTACGGAAAAGTCTCACAAAGAAGTTGGTTTACTAATAGCCACCCAGGTTGGTATACTTAACCCAGCTTGCTTAAGTACCCCGTGTTAATGGACTTCAGTGACAGTACTGTAAGATGTAGCTTCAATTTACTCAATGTTGAAATGAAAACGCTTAAAAAACCGGAAATAAAAACTGGCTTGGCGGAAGTTTTACGTCCATCTGCTATCACGTGACTGCTAAATCAAACATGGCGGATGACGAAGAAGCTGATGCTCGTCAAGCTGATCCTTATGGACCCAGATTAATTGAACTGTGCCGAGGAGAAAATGGATTTGGATTTAATGTTCGTGGCCAGGTATCAGAAGGGGGGCAGCTGAGGTCAATAAATGGAGAATTGTATGCACCGTTGCAGCATGTAAGCGCTGTATTGGAAAGTGGCCCTGCTCACAGTGGAGGTGTCAGGATTGGTGATCGAATCCTTGAAGTGTACGTAAACATACACGACTTACTTTGTGTGTGATTCTAATTATTTTGCACGGATTCTTTTAATTAGGGGACAGTGGATAGTTGCAACATTGGTGCTGCGTGGTTGATGGAAATAAACGTACTTCTCTGCAATAATTATCATCAAACTGATCGTTGCCAGCTGTTAATACTTCCTCTTGTGATCATTCACCAGCCGATTTTTTATTTTCTCATATTTCTTCCCTAGTCGAAGAAAGTTACGAGAATATTTTGCTTGACATGGAGTTATGGCGCAACTAGTAGTCTGTGCCAACATTCTCGAAACCTACCGTTGCTTATTGAGATTTTTCCGGTAGAAAAATAGTTTTTTGTTTCTACTTGCAATCATGTTTTCATTTGACAAGTGTTTATTTAAGTTTTAACCTCTGATTTGGTTTGATTCCTTTCTCCTAAGTGAGAAGTCTTAATGTTACAGCGCAGTGGTGCCACTCGAACTTAATATGTGTTTTTAATAATCCAAATTTGAAGTCAGTAAACCAAGGTGAAGAAAACATCTTTAGCTTAATAAGGAATTTGTTGTTTTAAATAAGAAAATTCGAATAAAACAAGTCATTTCTTTATTCCTCTTAGTACTTAAGTCATGAAACACACGTATCTGTTCATGATCATTTTTGCTTACACAGACTCAGAGGATAGGATTTTATTTTTACAAACTGTTAAATATTATAGTCAAGTTTGTAAGTCTTAATATTGATGGACATTAATCCGCTTTGCCTCCTTGATCTAGCTTTTAGGAGCCTGACTTGTTTTCATCAGTATTAATCTGTATGGTTTAGGAGCTAGATTTTCCATCAGTGCCAGGGGTTTCGATAAAAGCTAGGTTAAATGGTGGTCAACCACTGCCTACAAGACCTTTGACCACAGTCTGTTTAGCTTTGACCAAGCTCGTGTGTTTGGGTTTTGCCTTGTGGCCCTTTCCAGGCCCATTATACCATACAAAGCAACTTTTGGAAAAAGTTACTGAAACCTCTGTCAATATATACCTAATACCCATGCAGTTTATGACAGTACCATGAATGTTTTTGAAAGGGTAGTAATCACTGTGGTCACATGTAAAGTCACACTTCACTCATGGTGCATTTTATGTGTTGGTGATAAGATGTAGATTCTACATGTACAAAGTTCAGTGTTTGAAAGTTACATCTTTTCAAGAAGGACTTTTCCAGATTGCTGGAAACTTCTTTCCTTCAAGTGTTATTGGGAAACTATTCAAAGTTGTATACTTTGAGTGAGAAAAAAATTGGATTTTGAGTTGTATGGTCCTGGAATCAAAACAAATAAATTGGAGTGTTAATCAAAGCTATAAATGCAGATGGGTGTAAAATCATGAAAGAATGCTTTTGGCTATTCCCTATAATATACTTATAGCTGTTGAAGGGGTGGAAATCATCAATCTGATATGAGGCTGCTTTACATTTTCCTATCCATGGCATGGTAAACAAGGTATTTTGTAAACCACATGTGAAAGCAGTTCATTAGTATTTAAGAAATATTTAATGAGTTGGGGTTAGGTGATTCTTGGACCTTGCTGCGGCCAAAGGGATAGAAGATCTCTTTTTGAGGAAATATTTCACACTATTTAACAGTAATTCTTATTAGTTAGAATCTCAACTTCTTAATCCTTGAACTCTTAAGAGTGACTAGTTTCTAGTTTGTCCTTACCAAATATCCCTTGGATCAAAGGTTATGGGCACAAGAACAAAGGAGACTATCAAACCAGTTTTATAAGCTCCTGATGGTCATGAAAAATTTTTCTTGTCAGTAACAAATGAGATGTAAAGAGAACAGTGCAGGGAATTTAAGTACCTATATTAGGGGGATTCATGGTTAATGTAGTGAATATGCCATAATATTGATGTAGTGATGATTTTGTTCTTAACAGGAATGGTGAAAATGTGGAGGGTGCTACTCACAAACATGTAGTGAACCTGATAAAGAAAGGTGGAGATAAACTGACCTTAGTCGTGATATCTGTCAGCCAAAACGAAGCTGAGAAATTTGATAGTGAGAGCTCATCAGGTGGGGAATATTATGATTACTCAGACAAGAGAGCTGTACCATTATCAATTCCTGAGACAAGACAAGTTGTTAGTAATGGTGAAACATTTGTGGTAAGAATTGTTAAAATGTGTTTTTTTGCATGATACAGTATTATTTCTCAGTTGAGTTGTTATGTCAATGAGATCTCTTTTCAAAATCACAATAAATCTAAATCACAATGTCATCTTGTAGTTATAGGATGAAGGCAACTAACCTGCCAAGAAAGTTTTTTTTACTTCACCAAATAACCAGCTGCACAAATATTAATGCAACATCTTGTAGTCGTGCTCTTCCATTTGTGGGTATCAAAGGGTTTTTATATGTGAAATATGATTAGGGCTAAAATTAGTATTTGGGGAAAGGTGAGCATGATTTATGAATGAACCAGTGTGTGGTGTCATTTGCCTCCTGAAATATGCACTCTACTTGACCCGTGAATTTTTTCCTTTTATTAAGTGAAAACCTGAAGATTTCCATGAAACCTTGTACACAAGAAGAAATAGGAGACATTTTTCCTTTGTGAGGCAGGATGTTTTCTAGAATTCAGAGGTGAAGTGGGATGAGGACACTCTCTCCCCCTTCACTACCCTTGCATTGGTGCCATTACATACATGTGTCATGTCAGCAATATGTTGATAATTGTTCTTAAAGTAGTCATTTGCAATAATGGCTTTCCAAGGAAAGATAATTCAGTCAACTACATAAAAAGATAAATTGAAGCTGCAGTAACTCTAATGATTATAATTATATTTATCTATTTGTGGTGAAAGAATATCCTTCTTATAGGTATATAATATCTATTATGGAGACAAGCATATTTGTTCCAGGAGATACAAAGAATTTTCAAACTTGCACAGCCAGGTAAAGAGATAAAGATTTTGTAATTGAATTATTTGCTAAATATAGCAGAGAAGTGTTCCCTAGGAGTTGATTTAGGGACCCATTTGTGGCCAACTGTCAAATTTGAAGCTGGTACCTTTTATCACCCTGAGCCAGGTTGTTCAAAGCTGGGTCAAGTAGTAAGGGTTAGTATGAAATCTGATCTCAGATCTGAAAGTTTTTAAAGAAAATTAAGTGGAGTTCTTTTAGTCTACAATTTGATGCTTGCTTGTCCTAAAAATAATAGACTGAAGAAATTTTTGAACAAAGAAATAAGGCAACTCAGTTCTAAACTTAATCCCGGGCTAGTAATAACTGGCCTGTGGACAACTGGGCCTAGAAAATGTGTGTAGTCTTCACTCTCAGGGAGGTAATGTGCAATGGTCTAGCATCACATCCTGGGGGGAGTATTAATATTCATACCTGTTTCATGCAACAGAAACCAAGATAAGCTTTGGGTAGATGGGCCACTTGGCCTGAGTGTAGAATTACATCTACTTTTGCTCTCATGGTAATGATACACAGAGTCATATTGGTGTATAGTGATAATTACTGCTAATCTTTAAATTAATATTTATTGTGCCTAATTGATTAAATTATCTTTTATCTTAATATAGTTTGATATAATCTGAGGCTTTTGTTGTCTTTGCTCTCAGCTTAAAAAGGAGTTTAGAGATTTCCAGTTTCCAAAGTTTCCTGGAAAGTGGCCATTTCACTTATCTGATCAGCAAATAGAGACCCGTAGAAAAGCTCTGGAATTCTATTTTGATCAAGGTTAGACCAGCAGTTTTTTAAATAAAATGTGCTTTATAAGCTCATAAATTTGTAATTATTCACTCTGTCATGTAAAGTAGAACTGAGATTACAGTGAATGTATTGTTTTATATGAATACTGGAAGCAATTTTGCGTTTCTTCTGCACACTGCACACCAGGTACAGTCTACCAAAACAAAAATACTGGTACTTTCAGATTCTCTAGGAAAATTCACTACTTGGTTAGGAAATTGCAAATTAAATGGCATGCAAAAACCGACATTGCACAAGTTGCAAAGTGATGAGTCCAATATCAGTTTTCAAGTGCAATTTAACGTGGAATTCATGAGTCAAGTAATGGATTTTCCATGAATGACATAATTGAATCAAAATAAGAAAAAAAAACAGCATCACCTTTAGTTGTCATGTTTATGTAGATGCGAAACAATATCACCTAGCCTCATTTTCAACTCACCATTCCAAGCTAAATACCTCACTTCGTTAACCAATCAGGATGTGAAATTTTATTCAATGATGCGATTCTATTGCTTAGTAGTCTTCCAGTAACAATGATATTAGTTTCTCTGAGGTGTCTGAAAAAGCAAACCCACACAAGAGGCATTTTCTGGAAGCACCCCTAAAGATTTAAGATGATATCAAGCCAAAATTTTGAATTTTTTTTCTTGTATTGAATTAAAGACTGCTTCACTATCAGCTTGTTTCAAAATGTTCCTTTAACTCTCCACACCACCCCACAGGGTGTAATAAGGTCCTGTCAGGGAGGGAGGAGTCTCATTGAGTACTAGGGCCTAGTAAAGAGGAAGGTTTAGTTAAAACTTATAGATGAGAGCCAAAAAATTCAAACCAGTCTTATGGTCATTTGATATAGACTATTAATAATTGTTAGAAATAATGCAAACAAGAATTAAGCTACCCTGAAAATTTTCAATCTGCCCTGAAAATTTTGGACTGAAAAGTAATTTTTATACTCTCTTAACAGTTAATTCAGTTAAAGTTATTGGAGAGTCAGATGCCATGGTAGAATTTCTTAAATCTTCAGAAAACCAACTTCAGGTATTTTGTTGTTTCTTTTTCAGGCAGATTCTACCTAGAGATGGCTTTGAATAAGATTACCTTTATTTTATTAAATTTTTTAGTATACTTGAAGTAATGTTGTAAAGTAGTATTTGTCTTTGTATTTTTTGTTTTCTTGGACAAGGCTCTGTACTCTAGCAGAGAACCTCTCCACCCAGGAGTTTAAATGGGTAACCTTTGACAGACCAGCATCCCACACAGACCGGTAGCCATACTCCTAGCTGGTTCTTTCTTGTTCCTGCTATGGAAGTGGAGATAACCTATGATGGTATCTGTGAGCCACATAGCTCTCCTACATGCTAAACCATTTTTAACACCTAGACAGGATGGAATTAATGTTAGCCCAACAAGCCACTTTCTCAGTTTTTCATATGAGTACAGGTTTGTTGAGAATTAGAACAGAGGGTCTCTATTCATTTTCTCTTCCAATGTTGTATTTTAGCAAGAGAAAGAAGAGGAAGATGGTTCAATGAAAGTTGAGTTGAGAGTATTTTTACCAGATGAGTCCATTACAACTGTGACTGTTTTGAAATGTCACAAAACAGTTCAAGTATATCAGGTGAGCAGTGGAGAACATTCATGCACAGTACTTTACACAAATGCAGTGTATGCATGCTTTCAAATTCATGGATTTACTATTGAAGCCAAGGGTGAGAGGTAGTTTGTCTAACTTTAAGATATTGTTGTGAGCAACAGTAATGTGTACCGATTTATGTTGACAAAAAGTGTAAAATCACATACAAAAAGGAGGGATGTGGCACATCCTATTTTGATTATGAAGAGGAAATAAGTATTTTTGGTTATTAATAGTTCCTAACAACAATCTAAGGGAAACAAAAGCTTTAGTAAGGAGAGCTAAAGATGAAATTGTTTGACTTCTGTCTCGCATTTTTAAACAGAAGTCTCAGTATCTTGCAAATTTTGGATTTTTTACCATTCACCAGGGCCTTCTTGTTATACAAGACTCAAAAATGGGCAAATCCAAATTATAAACTAGACATTATGTGACTTGATTTGATTTGATATTATGTTAATGGAAGGCCATGACAGAAAAGCTAAACTTGGTTGAAGGTAGCATCTCAAACTTTGCACTCTTTGAGATTGGTGAGGATGGTTTTGGTAAGTGAAGTATGTTGTGCTTCTTGTTAATTACCATTAAGGGTTTTTAGTGGGTATTTTGGACTAGCTTGTTCACAGGCGGCCCAAGCTCTCTTTGAGAACCACACAAGGAACACAATTTGCATATCGATTGATAAGGATTTGTATGGGATTTTCTACAAGATATCCATATAGAGATTGTTAAAAGTGAAAATATTAAATAAAAATGGCTTACCTTATTCCATACGTGTGTTGCTTGCTCCTGGTGTCGTTATTTTACCGATTTTACTTGATTTAAGCGGTTTTTTTTTTTAATCCTGGATTTCTCTTCTTAAAGAGAAGAAAACCAGGATTAAAAAAACCGCTTAAATCAAGTGAAATAGGTGAAAAAACGACACCAGGAGCAAGCAACACACGTATGGAATAAGGTAAGCCATTTTTATTTAATATTTTCACTTTTAACTATCCTTTATGGATATCTTGTAGAAAATCCCATACAAATCCTTATAAATCGATAGCAAATTGTGTTCCTTGTGTGGTTTTCAAAGAGAGCTTGGGCCACCTGTGGCTTGTCTGATCACTAGCTGTCATTTATTGCTTGGATCATTGCCAATCCTGAGTTATATTCAAAGGTATAGGTTTTCACAATTGCTGAGTCTGCATTAGTGCTAATATTCCCTGAGTAGCTAGGCTCAGCTTGTGTAAGTGTTTAATTTTGATTTTGCCTTAACCCTTTCTCTCCCAAGATCTCATTAGTAATTCTGCTTACTTTCTGCCATACAATTCTTATGATGTTATAATTTGGATATATCAACAAAGTTGAAATGGTAAATTGGCCACCGTAACGATTACAAAAGCTGATGTTTCGAGCGTTAGGTATGGGTCGCACTTGGGCAAAGTTTTCAACTTTGCCGGCAAAAAAAATACAGAAAATTTGAAACCGCAACCGGAAAGCAAACTTTTGGTTTCAACTATCAGGTTAGCCCTTCGTCGGACCGAATAGGGGAATTGTGGGTTGTGTGTGCTTTTAAAGGCAGAAAATGGAGCTACGTTATTGGTGGGAACATGGCAACGAGAAAAACACGAGTAAATTAGTGGAATGAAAAGCGTTCGTTGATCCCTGTGGGATTTAGACTGCCGGTTTGAAAGATGAGCTTTTGTTCAAGAGTTTTACGGCTTTCCGTGCTATCTTAGTGTAAGGAAAGACCGCAGATTGCCATATGTTGCTTAGAATGATTAGGTAAATTAAAGTGTCTAGTGACTGGTTTCGATGTGTCCTTGTCATTCCTTTCCTTTCCACGTCTCGAAGGTGTTCTCGGAATCGGTCACCTAGTCTTCTTCCTGTTTCGCCGATGTATATCGTTTTACAATAAGTGCAAGTTATGCAATAGATTACATTGGCGGAGGTGCACGTGAAGTGATCGGCGATCTTATTGGATCGTTTAGGTCCCAATATTTTAACAGTTTTGTGAATGAAAGGACACGTTTTGCATTGTGCACGAGCGCATTTAAAAGTGCCTGGTTGGTCATTAGTCTGAGAAGAACTTCTGACCAAAAATTTGCCTATGTTTTTGTCGCGTTTGAATGAACTTGAGCGGAGGCTGCGAAAAGATAGTGCTTGTCTCTGGATCGTTTTGAAGTAAAAAAAGGTTTTAAGAATGATGGATTTAACTGAGTGGTTGTGAGGGTGAAACGTGAGAGTGAATGGAATGCGGTCGGAATCTTCCTTATGCGACGTTTGTAGTGTTGAATGTCGATCAATAAGTTGGGCGCGGTGGTAATCCGCTTGAACGACAGAAACAGGGTAACCACGGTTATTGAAAAACTGGCACATTGACTCTGATTTGTGGTGGAAATCAGAGTCATCACTACATAAACGACGAAGTCTTAGAAACTGAGAAAAAGGATTGGAATTCTTAACTTAATATGCAAAGACGAATATAACAAGTAATTATGCGATTCTGTAGGCTTGTAATACACACTAGTGCATAAACCGTTGCCTTCAATTGAAACTTTGATGTCTAAAAAGGATAAAGAATTGTCAGAAATTTCCCAGGTATATTTCAGAGCCGGGTGAAAAAAATTGACTGCGGATATGAATTGAGTGAGCTCCTCTCTGGTAGAGGAGGTAGCACCGATACAGTCGTCGATGTAGCGACCGTAGAGTTCAGGTTTGGAGCCGTTGTATTGGCTGAAAAATTGTTGTTCGACAAAACCTACAAAAAGATTGGCTTAGCTAGGTCCCATTTTGGTGCCCATGGCTACACCATTGGTTTGTTTGAAGAAGTTATTTCCGAATGAAAAACAATTGAGTGTGAGCACCAGTTCGGCTAAGCGTAGTAGTGTTTCAGATTTTGGTTCCTTAACAGTACGTTGATCAAAAAAGATTTTAAGGGCCAGACGGCCTTCGCCATTAGGAATGACAGTGTAAAGAGACATAATATCCATGGTGAAGTTTGTTTTGGCCGAGGAAATTAAAGTCTCGAAAAATTTGAAGAGTGTGTTGGCTGTCTTTAATATATGATGGTAAAGTTTTGACGATGGGAGCCATAATTGTAATTTGGAGAATTTAGCCATAATGTTAGTTTGGAGAATTTGGTATCAGATCAACTGTTAAATCCTAATTGATATTTTTCTTTATTGTCATCACTGTAAGGAGAAATTCTGTCTTGGTCACTCATGGGAGTTAAAGGCTTAAAGGCTTTGGGTTGTTTCTGGCTCTAGATCTGCCATTCTTCTCTTTACAAAAGAGGCATAATATTTTGCTTTTTACTTTAAATTTTACAATTTTATTAACACCAAACTCTCTCTGCATGGTGTTTCTCAATTGGCTTATTTTTTTTTTCTGATTTTAGAACGCAAACTTGAACAGAATGAGTTCCCTCACAACTTATATATCAAGAGTTATACTGCATCATCTACAACCTGTCTTGCATTTCGAAAGTGGATATTTACCTTAGCAAGGGTTTGTGTGCTAATGTTATACCTAATGTTAAGCCTGGTCGTCAAGATGTAGACCAGTGCTATCAGTAATTGAGAAGAGAGAAAGACTATTCACTGTTTCATGAGTGAGTGCCTCAGTCATTACAGTAAGATGTAGACCAATGCTATCAGTAATTGTGAAGAGAGAAAGACTATTCACTGTTTCATGAGTGAGTGCCTCAGTCATTACAGTAAGATGTAGACCAATGCTATCAGTAATTGTGAAGAGAGAAAGACTATTCACT